AAATTAACCTCATACTCTCTGACCAAACTAAATTCCAAAGGGTAACGAAGGACACTACAGCCAAATTGAAAACAAAGGTAAGCAGATTGATCAAAACTGTGAATGCCAAGAAATCCAGACTCCACCTGCCAAAGGTTATTGGGGAATACAAACCTGGGTATGCGTATGGAAATGTCAAGACCCACAAACCCACTTCGGCCACTCATCAGCCAGATACCCACACCCACTTACAGACTGACGAAGCGACTCAACGGCTTGCTGACTCCTTATGTACCTTGTGCTTTCAGCCTGTAGTCTCCAAAGGAATTTGTTGACTTACTGCGGGGAACACGGGCCACAGGGACAAGAGTCTTGTTGGACGTAGAATCACTGTTTACCAACGTACCTGTGGATGAAACAATCGGGATGATAGCGGACAGAGTGTATCGTGATCCGGCCTGTACTCCTTTTGACATACCAGAAAACATTCTAAGGAAACTACTCCAAGCTTGTACTAAAGAGGCACCCTTCTTGAGACCTGATGGGCACAGGTATAAGCAAGTAGATGGGGTCGCCATGGGTTCTCCCCTAGGTGTCCTGTTCGCGAACTTCTACATGGGTACCATCGAACAGAAGGTCTTAGTTGGCATGAATTTGAAACCTGCCATATACTGCAGGTATGTTGACGACATTTTTACACAGGTACCTGATGTCAGACGTCTGCGGGAGATGAAGGAGGCATTCGAGCAGAATTCTATGTTGAGTTTCACTTACGAGATGGAGAAGGATGGGAAGCTGCCCTTTCTAGATGTAACAGTCATGGAAAGGAGCAGAGGTTTCCACACTGCAGTCTACACTAAGGAAACAAACATAGGAATGTGCCTCAATGCTAACAGTGACTGCCCAGACAGGTACAAGAGAAGTGTTGTCAACGCTTACGTCAACCGTGCTCTCAGCCACAGCTCAGGATGTTAGCAAGTCGATGAAGGGTAAGGCAGGTCCTATTCAACAACAGCTTCTCCAATGGTTTTGTTGAAGACATCATAAAAAGGAAGGTGAAATGCCATGCAACCTCTGAAGTGTCAACTAACACAACACCTGTACCCCCTATTAGACTATTTTACAGGAACTTCTTTTCCACAGCTCATAAAACGGAGGAAAGGGTCCTGAAAGATATTGTTAATAGGAACGTTATCCCTACAGACAAAAATCAGAAGATACAATTGACGATTTACTATAAAACCAAAAAAACGGCCAACCTACTCACGAAAAACTCTCCAGACACAAAAGCAGAATGCCTTAAGGGGCCATAGTACCAGGATATAAGAAATTGTTGTAGGGTATTCATAATTTATTATCCTGATACATGTGAAAGGTGCTGCACCTAGGCCAAGTTTCAGCATCTCAGCCTAAATAGAGACGGAGAAAAAAAAAAAAAAAAATTTCAACCATGTTCAATCGATTTCACAGCCCACAATTGTGAACCAAAATCATTTATACGACACTCACCTATGACCTTACTATATAATAAAGATTTTTATGTCACATCTTTATCCCAGATGTATTTAGTGCAATAATACAGATTTTTAAAAGTTTCCCAAAAACGTATGCAACAAAATGAAGTGTATCATTATTTATAAAATCAATAAATCTACGTAGATAAGAATAATGACGTAATTTTTTAGAGGCGTAAACTCTACATATAATGTGCAAGTTTCATGTAAATTGAATAATAAATAAAGGCTGTGAAACCAGATCTAGTTGTAAAAGTTGGAGTTGCGTAGCGCGCGCGACAAGATACACATACTCGCGGTCACTCGTGACCGCGAGTATGAGCCAGCTCGTACCTTCTATGGAGAGCTCGCATGCATTTAGCTTTCAATGCTTTCCTCTTGTTCGTTTGGTAAGTCATATTGCAGTACAAATAGCAATAATAGCATGAGTTCTGGGAGATATTGTGAGAGCGCGTCAGCGATATATCCTCTCTCCAAGAGAGACACAGAGTCACTGAGGGCCTGAGCCACGTACAACCCCTCTCTCTCTCACGATACTGTTGCCAATGAGTGAGTTTATATTCATTTTATGCATAACATGTTATTTTCAACGCTATTACGAAAAATAAGACTTCTACAACGTAAGATACAATACCCCGCGGCGCACTCACGCCGCGAGGACCAGATTCACGAAAGTTGCAGCGGGAAATTTGACTCTAATTACATTATTTTTCAAGATATCATTAAACGGTTTGGACCACAGTGTTGCCAAAACGTTGTAGTATTTTTCGTAATTTTTCGTAAATATTCCATTTTTCTTCGGATTTTCGGTTACCATGGCCCCTTAAAGGAAACCAACGTCGTCTATGCCTTCAAATGCCCACTTGGGGACTGTAAGCTCCAAAGAACTCAGTATATAGGCAAGACAACAATGTCTCTTTCCAGGCGATTAACAATGCATAAAGAACAGGACTCCATAAAGGAACATAAAATCTCCTTTCACAACCAGACCATCACCAGAGAAGTCTTAACAAACAACACAGAAATCATTGATAGGTACAGCGATAGCAGGCGGCTCAACATCTGCGAGGCACTACACATCAAAAAGTCAACACCAGCAATCAACAGCTAATTAATGCATAACTATATCCTACCCTCTTCAAGACTCCGTACCATTATAGAAGCATGAAGAGGAAGTATAGACCAATAGGCCCTTTGCCGTTACTTCCATTCTTCCCTTTCACTTATCCAATTTATACCCATTGAACTATGTTCTGTCTTGTGTTGGTCATAAGTTTGTTCACCTCATCCAAAACTGTTTCAACATATCACCTCACCCAAATGCAAGTATATAAGACAAGCTGTTTAGCGTTAGAATTAGTAAAACTCTGTTAAGTGTTTTCAGGTTATAGTTGTGTGTGTGTAAACTAAAGTCTTTGAAAATGTACTACGTTATTACGAAACGCGTTCAAGCGTCGCGTCAGACTAGAAACAAAAATGAATTTTGGAGAATTGATTTTTCAATTACCATCGACAGTAAAAAGAAACATAAGAAATATTGAGAAAATTTGTGTTAGAATTATTAATCTTACTTTTTCGGTCATATTTAACAAACATATATATATATATATATATATATATATATATATATATATATATATATATATATATATATATATATATATATATATATATATATACAGTACTGTATATATATAATATATACTGTATATATATATATGTATATATATATGTATATGTATATATATATATACTGTATATATATGTATATGTATATATGTCGTACCTAGTAGCCAGAACGCACTTCTCAGCCTACTATGCAAGGCCCGATTTGCCTAATAAGCCAAGTTTTCATGAATTAATGTTTTTTCGACTACCTAACCTAACCTAACCTAACCTAACCTATAAAGATAGGTTAGGTTAGGTTAGGTTAGGTAGGGTTGGTTAGGTTCGGTCATATATCTACGTTAATTTTAACTCCAATAAAAAAAAATTGACCTCATACATAATGAAATGGGTAGCTTTATCATTTCATAAGAAATAAATTAGAGAAAATATATTAATTCAGGAAAACTTGGCTTATTAGGCAAATCAGGCCTTGCATAGTAGGCTGAGAAGTGCATTCTGGCTACTAGGTACGACATATATATATATATATATATATATAATATATTTATATTACTGATGAACCGGGACAGCCAGGCGCTCCAAACACCTCGTCATGTCCAGTTCTATACCTGCTAGACCACAACTGGCTGTTACAAGAATTGGAAGTTTGTTAGACTTATGACCCAATTCCCAACAGCACTCAGTGGCCATCGGGCACAGATAATTTTCATCAAATCAATTCACCATGTGGGAAGATGAGAGTATCATTCGAGCAACAAGCTCGAATGATCCCCAAGCCATATGCATCAGAAAAACTCTTGGTGCATATGATAGTGAGGTTAAGGGGGGGTATAAGGGTACTTGAGGCTATGCCTAATGATCATCCTGTACAAGTGAAGCTTGACTTGGGATGGGGATTGTCGGAGGAGGAAGAGCTTTGCCAGGGATCTGCCAGGGATCAAAGCCAATGCAATTGCCTTTGTTGTTACCTTCAGACAAGTCTCACTGTATATGTCATTTCCTCCCTATTCGTTTGTGTTAGGATGTAAATGACCACTACCATAATCTTAATATTTGTAATACCTTAATATTTATACCCCACTGTTGCTAGTCCTAGTATATTTTCTTGGTGATAGGTCTCATTGGGAAATTTTATATCTTCAAATACCCAGTGCAGTACTAGCAGTAGGGGCTACACATCCAACCCCTGTTCACCCTGGGAGGATTGCATCCACTGTAACACTTGTCAGTTTTGTCTCCATATCAATGCTGAATATATGTGCTGTACAGTCTGTGGCATAGTGAAATATACAGTCTGCTAGGTCACAGCCGAAAGGTCCTGGGACAATTCTTGCAACAGGACACAAGTGCTTGAGCAACATATCTTTTCATCAGACATATAAAAAGACTTGGGGGTTGATATTACACTAAAGCTGTTACCAGAAGCCCACATGAAAAAGAGTATCAACTACATATGAAAGGTTGCCAAATATAACTTTTATAAAGAATCTGAAAAAAGAGTTGCACAGGATCCGGTAAATTATTTGTCTGACTAATTCTGAAATATTCAGCATCAACATGGAGTCCTTATCTCATTAAATACAGAATGAAGCAGGAGAAAGTTCAGAGGTATGCCACCAGACTAGTTCCAGAGCTAAGAGGTATGAGTTATAAGGAAAGATTAAAAAAGTTAAACTTATTCTTTCTTTCATCACTGGAAGAAAGAAGAAATGGGGAATACATGGTTACCAAATGTAATGCATTAAGTAAAGCACTGGAAGTAAATCCCATTACCAACTTAATCATCAACATATGTCCTTTCACAACCCAATGTACCTTGTACACAATGTAACTTGTATTAGCATTAACTTGTAACTTGCTAAATTACATAATTTCCAGGGCTGTTGGAGTGCTGACCTATGTCTTCTTGACTGGATGCACACCATTTGGAGGAGACACTGATCAAGAAACATTTGTTAATATTACCCAAGCAGAGTTTGATTTTCCAGAAGAATTATTTTCAGACATCTCTGAACAAGCAAAGGACTTCATCTGTGGTCTTCTTGTCAAAAAGCCAAGGTGTGTGAGTATAAAACTTATTGTTTTAATAACATATTTAGTGTAAGGAATCAGTTTTTTCCTGTATTCTTAATAAACAGTAAGTAAATAATTATCAAAAGTAGGCACCAAACTAGAAATACTATGTAGCACCATCTGTGTTATGGGATATTCAAAAGGTCAGCAATATGAAAGGTATCAGATTCACCAATGATTGCATTGAGGGATGTCATGGTTGTGTCATAGTTTGTGTGACAGAGTCCTGTCAAGAATTTGGTGGTGATGGACCTTTAAATGTTGTCTAGGGGAATAGATTATTTTACTGTAGCCTAGGGGAAATCAAGGAGTAAGGAAAACAGCCTAGTACAAAGACACAAATTTATATGTATAAGACACGATATTACATACATGAAATTTTATTCCTTACACCACAAGGTCATTTTGTATTAATGAAACTCCCAAGTTGGGTCTGGCTACCCTATGGCTCACAATCCCAAATCTGGAACCATGCACACAGCTACCACACTTATCAACCAGTGACACATATATGAAACTCTAGAAAACCTGGACTCTCTCTTATAAAACATCTCCAAAGTCTGCATTACTACTCTACCCGATCTTGCATCCCTGTTTAGATACAAAGGAAGGCTTATCTGACTGTACGGCTGGAGAAAAACCCTCAGATAGCAGGATCTGGTCGTCAGTGATACACCTCCCCTCAAGTCAAGATGGCGTCCACCTCTCTTGCATCATTGCCCCTTAATACTCTATTCTTTACATTTGTAATCAAATCCTTTATTGACTTTATTTACCATATTCTCTATGAATGCTTTTAGATTGTGTCCATTTTTTCCTCACATAGTTAGGCTATTCCAGTTCACATTATTCCTAACAATCTCCAGCTGAGAAGGCACTACTTTGCCCTGGGCGAAGTATTACTGGTGACTCGCGGCCTCTCTGATATCAGCTGTAGATATTTTCCTATCAAACATTCTCCACTGTGTCCACTAACATTTTATATTTGAAACTAACCTCCACAGGAGGTAAGGTTTGTAACAAGGGACAAGTGGCCCAAAGAAACATTAGGAAAGCAAGACATGTGATCATCCTGAAAATCAGAACATTCTATAGGGAGGTGCATGATTAAGTGGCACAATGCAGTGCAGACAATAAGAAGCAGTGCATTGTTCCATTATGGGCCCATAAGTGAAGCACATATAGCCAATACTCAACCCAGCCAGAGCAGTTTCCACTATCTGTAATAGTGGTAAGATGAAGGCCAAGGGGGCATAGGTCACCTTTAACAGTATCACAGAATGCAAAATAAATGACTTGGTAGAAATCCAAATAAGGAATCCCTTTTTTTGGAAATGGAAAAAAATAATTGAATGGCCTTATGATGGTGTCCACAAGTTCATTCAAGGTAACTCCAATATGGCTGGGTACCCAACAAAAGTCACCTTTTTAAAAATGCTACCGATATGAAACAGCCAGTTTTGGATTTCGATCACCACAGGATGCAAAGGATTAAAAAGACTCCAGAATCACAAGGATTATGAAAGTCAACTGCAGTGATAAAGGAATGTTGATGCCTGTTGAAAGCTGACGAAGAGTATAAAAATTGCATGAAGCCCTGCCTTGAATAACATGGGAGCAGGAATTGGCAAATCGAGCAAGCTGCCCATCTCCCCACTGCCCCGCCAAAGGGGCAAACTGCAAAAGGGCCAGTGCAAACCCAGACCAATAGTAGCTCTGCAAAGTTTGAGAATGTGCTAATGAGCAGGAGATGAACCGACAATGGAATGCATGTTTAGTTTAGTTCATATATTATGCACCCCATACCCATCTTGTGGGCAGTAGTGGAAAGGGTTACAGAGGCACATAATGGGGTCAGGGACTGAACCCCACACTTCATTTAGCTAAGCAAGTTACAATCTTGATGAGCTAGTTACAAAATTCAATATAAGTCGTCACATCAACAATGGGTTTGAGATCGACCTCAAGTACAGGTTCTAAATTAAGCAACTGACATATGTGGAGAGCTAGTGTCAAAATTTATATGTTTGTTCTGCACACCGCCCCCCCATTCAGTGGGCAGCGGTGGATAGGTTACAATCACTCAGTTACTTCCTACAGTTAGCAAACTGGGGATATTTGGCTAAAATTTCTGGTAGCAGATAATTTTGAATGAAATATTTACACACCGCTGGAATATTGGTTATAGAAATTGTCTCTAAATTCACGTATCTTTTCGCACTCCATCACATAGTGATGGAGGGTGTGCGAATAATTTTGTTGACAGTTTACATTTGGTCAGGTCTACATCATCCCCAAATCTGGCTCCAATAAAGGCCTATCCTGACCAGCAGCAGGTGAAGCCCTGGTGCTACCAGACCACCTCCAAGAGTGAGGATGAGAACCAGCCATCTGGAAAGAGGAGAGGTGAAAAAAGTGAAGCAGACAAGCAGGCCAAGGACAGAGCTAAATCTAATGACTGGACCAACACAGCTTGTTGACACATCAGATGTGCAGAGCAAAATATGGCCACTGCCTCCCAGAGCACGACCACGTACATCTTGAGCAAAGCCGCTGACACTTTGTGGAACACTGCCATAGCAGACAACAAGGAGATTGCACTCGATCCAAGGCGAGTGCATTAAGATCCTCACAGAGTCAGTGTGCCCAAACCAGCTAATGCTTGCTCACAACCTGGGAAATAGATACAGGGGCAGCAAGACCCAGACTCACCCAAGGAAAGGCCTTCCCCCCCCACCCTAGTGGCCTGGCCTTTAAAGAGAGCGAGCTCCTGAACACACCAGAGAAGAGAACTTTGCCAGTGAAGGGGCAGCACTAGGGAGCACTCAAGAAAGGAAACCCTGAGCACATGCAGCTCCAAGTGTGCTACAAGCCAGATCTATTCAACACCGAACTAGACAAAAACATGCTCCAAAAACAAGCACAATAAAATTCAAACCAATACCAAAGAAATGGCAGGTGCAGAATAAAGTCAAAGGATGGCTGGCACTTAGCTGAAAAGCAGTGGAACCTGCCACAGTGTACAATACTGACAATGTAGTGTTAACGAGCTTATGCTTGATTCGAGAGATTCTTTCATTTGTTTACATTTTTGGAGGATTTCGTTTGGCAATTTTGAATCTTTGGTCTCTTTGAACCCAGCAATGGTCTGTACTGGTTTCCTGACTTTCTGGATGCTTTCCTGGTGGGGTGGCAGTGTCACCTGCTCTCTGTGCCTTTGTGATGGGCCAGGTTCTGGTTTTTCTACCTGATAGGCCAAAATAGAACTTCGCAGCTGATGTGACCCAGTACTTAAGACTCATCTCAGCAAGTTAACTTCAGGGAGCCACAAGGGGCTACCCCCTAGAAAATCATCAGAAAAAATGAGGGGGACCTTAGACAAGCCACTATCTTTTGTCCTCATTGAGGCCACTGATGAGATGGTGGCCCTCATGTAAATTCAGGTATATAAGTCATGTCAGAAAATAATTTATGAAGTAGTGGTTTCATTTTATGTCCCCCTCCCCATCCGGCCCGTTGGTGTCGTGAGGGGGCTTGGTGGACGGCTGCCGGAGTGTGATGCTCCATTGGGCAGTCCTCTGTCCTTTTCTGGCCTTGCACTCCTGCTGCTGTCTTCTCCAATTGTGCCGGATCGCTTTTCCTTTTCCTTATGTTTCGTTTTTCTCCCCCCTCTTCTCCTATCTGCTTGTCGTTTCCTGCTGACCTTTTGCTTGTTTTGGATTCTTTCTTTGGACTTCTTCTATTTTGACGCCCGGGTGCTTGAGGAGGCATACTCTTGCACCCGTAGAACTGTAGTACCCAACGTCTCGAGCGAGGGGAACCTTTTATTGTCAATCCCCCTTTCGTCGCTGAACCCGATCTCGACGGACTGACGGTTCTTAAGGTGGCGTTTGTGGGGCGTATACTCACGACGCACCCCTAGGGGGCCCCGGCATGATCGGCGATAGCTTCCTGTTGGGTGTCCTGCCTCTAATTGTGGCTCCATGGTGGGTATGGGGGCACATTCGTGGATGAATTTGTCACTTCTCGTCTCTATGTCGTTGAATGTTTCCGTTGTACCCTCTCAGGCTCGTGGGGTGGGCGACCAAGCCCCCGAGTCGGCCTGTATTGGAAGACCAGGCTCTGTAGCTCCCGCTGCGTTGGGCCCCGACCTTGCTCCTCCTTTGACCGTCCTGACTTCTTCCCCCAGCTCCCCTCCCTCCTCTGTGGTTGGGTCGAGCCTCCAGCCCCCGGTGGTGACCACTTCGTCCCCTGGTGAGGCTAAGTCTTTCGTTGTGACTACTGCGCCTTTTGACCCCTCTCTCTCTAGGGGTTCTCAACGCCGTTCGCGCCCCAACCGCACTCGCTCGATTCCTTCTCGTGCTGATGCGTATCAGGCCTTGTTTGGTCCTGCTTCATGGGCCAAATACTTTGATCTCCTCCCTCTTGATTCTGCGCCTCCTGACGATTTCTCCCTCCATCGGCATCTTGTAGATTCCGTGGATGCGTCTGTTACTTTCAACCCCACTCGTCTCGGTACACGTGTCGTTGCTGCTCCTTCTCAGGATGCGGCTTCCCGCTTGGCTGCCTTATCTTGCCTTGGCGAGATCCCTGTTCGGGTCTCCAAGAACGTTCAGATGAATGCCAGTGTTGGCACTATTCTCCTCCCACCCCATGTTGCAACCGGTGTTCGGGATCTGCAGGATTGCCACGATGATATTCGGCATATCCTTGATGCCCAAGGCCATTCTGTCCTCCAGGTTGACTCGTTTACTCGTCCCCCTCGTGGTCGTCGCCGTCAACCCCTTCGCGTTGTGAAGATCACCTTCAATGGTAGGACCCTTCCATCCTCTGTCATTCTTGCTGGTGCTAGGTGCTCTGTCCAGGAGTATATTCCTTCTCCTCGACTTTGTAACAAGTGCTGGAGGTTTGGGCATGGTGCCCTCTGCTGCTCTGGGACTGTCTCTCTCTGTCCTTTGTGTGGGAGTGAAGGTCACTCTAAGTCG